TCCACCATTTTGACGTCTGAAATCAAGGGGCCCAGGATCTTTGCCAAGGCAGTTTCCCAGGTATGGACTGGGGGGCTTCCTGCTTTTTACTCATCATGCATAGGTGTTGAGGAATATGCTGGAAGAAAAGGGAGAGGACTGGGAAGGACAGGTAGTCTGTCCCTCTGAGAAAACTGTGTTTGGCTTTTCTTACCCCTGTAGTAGTAGCAGCTGACCTTTTCCAAGGGCTTGAGCGCACCTAGGGTCTGGCCAGGTGCCTGGCTGTGCCTCTCGGGCCTCCCCTCCACAAGCTGCATTGCCTGTGTGAGCAATACTGGCCTGCACCATCTTAGTGGACACAGCCTGAGGAGGGAGTCGGGAGCCTTGGACTTCAGCCCTTTCCTTCACTCACACCATCCTGTGCAAGTCACAAAACACGCCTGAGCCTATGCCGACCTATAAAAGCGACCTTGCCAATCTTACCGGGCTGACAAGAACTCACTGTTTCATTGCAGATAGATGTGTTGAGGCTTTAGAAGGTGCTTTTCACTTGGCTGCAATCCTAGAGGGGCTGTTGGGCCGACAGACCAGAGCTGACCCATGGCAGAGCCCGAACAGGACATCGGGGAGAAGCTGCCAGGTGAGTCTGTAAGTCACATTCCCAGCACAGTCCTCACGGGGTGATGCCGGGCCAGTGGTTTCCCTGTTGTGCTAGTGGTGTAGGTAAGGGCAGAGGAACTAGACCAAGGGTCCTGACAGGTAAGTCATCAATAGCTGTAATGAATAAACCGACAGCTGTAACAGCCGCTGCCTGGGGTTACTGGGGCTCACTGGAGCCAGTAGTTGTGCCTTGTGTGCACATTTAACACCTTCAATGTAGCGGACCAGGCTGGGAACATTCTAGTGCTGTGTTGGAGTCAGTGCATGGGCAGGAAGGCGCTGTTTCAGGTCAGACACTGGTGTCTGTGGTGGCTGGGGGCCCAGCTGCTACAGGGCTGCGGGAAGAGGGACTTCCACCTCTACGGCCCAGAGTAGAAAGACAGACGAGATTGCAGACCGCAGAGCACCAGAGGGAAGAGACACACTCTTTTCCCAGAAGTGGGCTGAGCTGAGAGGAAGGTCCTCATTCCCAGGGAGCCCCTGGCAGTGGAGCACAGGAAAGATGGCTTCATGAGCCTGGGCAGTCGCCAAGAGCCCTGCATTCAGAAAGGCCTCGAGCTGGAGATGCAATGCTCTGTGGCCATTGGCTTGACATCTTTTAAAACTTTAGCTTTGGATTTGTTTTGTATGTGGAGTCGAGCAGGACAACAGAGCATGTGCCAGGGCGTTGAGTTGGAAGTTCGGTTCACAGTGCAGTCTCCCCACTGCTGCTGTAACCCACTCTGCCAGAGTCCCTCATTCAGCTGTCACCTTTGCCTTACAAGGGCCAGACAAAAGGAAGAAAATTGACGTGGGGCAGGTGGCCAGGGCATGGGGACCACTGGCAGGGAAGCAGCAGCTCTCACCCATCCCCACCCAGCAAGCCGTGCATTCAGGTCGGGAGACTGCGGGCCTCTGAGGGCTGCCCACCTACCCTGGGTTATGACCTGTGGCTTGTGGGAATGGGAGGGTCTCCCACCTGAGTCTTCATTTCCTACTCAACTAATTATGCAGATGGCCCTGGTCACATCCAGATCCTGACACTCACTCACCAAGTTACTTTACCTTTCAGCTTAAATTTTGTTTGAAAATGAAAATATGTTCAAACCCATAAGATCTTGAGAACAGTTAGAGTTTTTATTCTTCCTACTCCAAAATGCAAGGCTTATTTTGATAGCTCCCTGATGAAGACTGATGAAGGTATATTCTGGATAAAGAACAAACCTTTTTTTTTTTAAATGATTTTTTGGAGGGGTTTTTGCTATAGGGCGCGTGCGCTCGCCAGAAAGACAGAGACAGACAGAGATAGAAAGCGAGAAATCACCCCCCAGGCGGGATGGCCACGCTGCAATCCCTTCTCCATTCTCCTCTCGGGATCTTGGGCACACACACACGCGCCCGGCGTGAGTTTAAGCCACCGGGTCTGGGATTTGAACTATGGTCGGCTACATGGGAGTTCCGCAACATAGCTATTATGCTAACTGCTGGCCCCAAGAACAAACCTTTTCACAGACCAGCACTGTTCCATAGAAATACAATGCAAGCCACTTAAGCAATTGAAAATTTTCTAGTAGACACTCTTTTTGATAGACACCCCGCCTTGGCCTGAGTAGCCAAGGCTGCAGGCACACACCACCACACTGTTTTTGAGTGAGCTGGGCAGCAAACCTGGGCCTCCCAGGTGGCCTCAGCCTACTGCATAACATCAGTGACCAGCAAGTGCTACCACGACTGGGCCAGGAGTCACACTTTAAAGAGCAAAAACAGATGAGGGGCCGGCAGGTTGCATGGTGGTAAAGGGGGCTGGATCCCCACATGGCTGACCACAGTTCAAGTACTGGGCCTGGTGGTTTGCTTTCTCACTTTCCAACCCTCTCGTGGTCTCTCCCTCTATTCCTCTCTGGTCAAACTTAA